TTTGGAATGATATGGATTTCTGCACAAATTGGTCATAAAATGTGATCTGATCATCATCTAAGTCACAACAATAGACAATCACAGTCTGCTTAAACTAATAACACACAAAAATTGAAATGTTGCCATGTTTTTATTGAACACACCATGTAAACATTCACAGTGCAGGTGGAACAAGTATGTGAACCCCTAGACTAATGACATCTCCAAGAGCTAATTGGAGTGAGATGTCAGCCAACTGGAGTCCAATCAATGAGATGAGATTGGAGGTGTTGGTTACAGCTGCCCTGCCCTATAAAAAACACGCACCAGTTCTGGGTTTGCTTTTCACAAGAAGCATTGCCTGATGTGAATGATGCCTCGCACAAAAGAGCTCTCAGAATACCTACGATTAAGAATTGTTGACTTGCATATTATTATTATTATTATTATTATTGCCATTTATATAGCGCCAACGGATTCCGTAGCGCTTTACAATATTTTGAGAGGGGGGGTGTAACAATAAATAGGACAATTACAAGAAAACTTACAGGAACAATAGGTTGAAGAGGACCCTGCTCAAACGAGCTTACAGACTATTGGAGGTGGGTTATTTGAAACATTAGGACAATAAATATCAAGTAGGAGTGAAGCAGAGCTGGAGAAGAGAGCAAAGCACTGTCCCATAGGAGAGAGCAGGAGACAGGTATGTAAGGTAGAGATTACTCTGGGAGGCCATGAGCTTTCCTGAAGAGATGGGTTTTAAGGCCCTTCTTAAATGATTGAAGACTAGGGGAGAGTCTGATGGCAGTAGGCAAGCTGGAAAGGGTTAAAAAAGTATATCCAAAAGCCTTGCTGTTCATCAGTCCACGGTAAGACAAATTGTCTATAAATGGAGAAAGTTCAGCACTGCTGCTACTCTCCCTAGGAGTGGCCGTCGTGTAAAGATGACTGCAAGAGCACAGCGCAGACTGCTCAATGAGGTGAAGAAGAATCCTAGAGTGTCAGTTAAAGACTTACAAAAGTCACTGGCAAATGCTAACATCCCAATACGTAAAACACTAAACAAGAATGGATTTCATGGGAGGATACCACAGAGGAAGCCACTGTTGTCCAAACAAAACATTGCTGCACGTTTACAGTTTGCACAAGAGCACCTGGATGTTCCACAGCAGTACTGGCAAAATATTCTGTGGACAGATTAAACCTTGATAGTTGAGTTGTTTGGAAGAAAGAAAGAAGAAAGAAGGCACAGCACACCAACATCAAAACCTCATCCCAACTGTAAGGTATGGTGGTGGGGGCATCATGATTTGTGGCTGCTTTGCTGCATCAGGGCCTGGACGGATTGCTATCATCAAAGGAAAAATGAATTCCCAAGTTTATCAAGACATTTTGCAGGAGAACTTAAGGCCATCTGTCTACCAGCTGAAGCTCAACAGAAGATGGGTGTTGCAACAGGACAATGACCCAAAGCATAGAAGTAAATCAATAACAGAATGGCTTAAACAGAAGAAAATACGCCTTGTGAAGTGGCCCAGTCAGAGTCCTGACCTCAACCCGATTGAGATGCTGTGGCATGACCTCAAGAAAGCGATTCACACCAGACATCCCAAGAATATTGCTGAACTGAAACAGTTCTGTAAAGAGGAATGGTCAAGAATTACTCCTGACCGTTGTGCATGCCTGATCTGCAACTAAAGGAAATGTTTGGTTGAAGTTATTGCTGCCAAAGGAGGTTCAACCAGTTATTAAATCCAAGGGTTCACATACTTTTTCCACCTGCACTGAGAATGTTTACATGGTGTGTTCAATAAAAACATGGCAACATTTCATTCTTTGTATGTTATTAGTTTAAGCAGACTGTGATTGTCTATTGTTGTGACTTAGATGATGATCAGATCACATTTTATGACCAATTTGTGCAGAAAGTCATATCATTCCAAAGGGTTCACATACTTTTTCTTGCAACTGTATATATATATATATATATATATATATATATATATTTATAAATACACAAAATACAATATTTTGTGCACTCACACATTCACTAAACAGTAGTTTCAAGGCACATAGAATGTAATAGTTTCATTTAAAAATGCCTCACATAGGCAAAATTAACAAAGGTTTAGTTACAGTATATGATCATACATTGTATAAGCCCGCCACAATGCCAATGTACCCCATTCTTGGCAGGTCCTACTCTAGCAACCTAATGTCTGCTCTTATGAGATTAGTTCACTTAATGCTTCCTCTTGGGAACTCTCTGCAGTGCAAGGTTAAATAGTTAAATAGGGTTCTGGAAACCAAGAAGGCTGCACTTACCTGATGCATGGTAGGCATGTTGTATGTTGCATGTTGCATATATATATATATATATATACAGGGGCGTATTAGCCGCGAGGCAAACAAGGCATTTGCCTTGGGCGGCATTTTTCAGGGGGCGGCAAAAAACGCCGCCCCCCAAATGCCCAGGGCAAATGCCTAGTTAGCCTCGCGGCTAACTGACATCCCGAGCGGGCGGCGATGGCAGGCAGGCGGCTGGCGAGGGAGCACTTCCTATGAGCTCTCTGCTCAGCTCCCTCGCGCGCCGCAGAGTGAGGCTGGGAGCCGGAAGATGACATCATCTTCCGGCTCCCAGCCTCACTCTGCAGCCGGCGCGCGAGGGAGCTGAGCAGTCAGCTCATAGGAAGTGCTCCCTCGCCAGCCGCCCGCCTGACCTGCAGCCACCGGACCACCAGGGATAGAGACCCCCCCCCCCCAGCACTCCCAAAGCTAAGGAGGTTGGGGGGGGATTTAAATTTAAAAAAAAGTTAATGTGTGTGTGTGTGTGTTTGTGTCTGACTGTGTTTGTGAGTGTGTGTGTGTGTGTGTGTTTGTGTCTGACTGTGTTTGTGTGTGTGTGTGACTGTGTGTGTTTGTGTCTGACTGTTTGTGTCTGTGTATGTGTCTGACTGTGTGTATGTGTATGTGTCTGACTGTGTTTGTGAGTGTGTGTGTGTGTGTGTGACTGTGTGTGTGTTTGTCTGTGTGTGTCTGACTGTGTTTGTGTCTGTCTGTGTTTGTGTCTGATTGTGTGTGTGTGTTTGTGTCTGTGTATGTGTCTGACTGTGTGTGTGTGTTTGTGTGTGTGTTTGTGTCTGACTGTGTGTGTGTCTGACTGTGTGTGTTTGTGTGTGTTTGTGTCTGACTGTGTGTCTGACTGTGTGTGTGTGTGTGTGTGTCTGACTGTGTTTGTGTCTGACTGTGTGTGTGTTTGTGTCTGACTGTGTGTGTCTCTGTGTGTGTTTGTGTCTGTGTATGTGTCTGACTGTGTGTGTGTTTGTGTCTGACTGTGTGTGTGTATTTAGAAGGTGGGGCGGGGGGGAGGGTTGGGTGGGGGTGGCGCGGGGGGAGGGGGGCGCCTGAGTTTTGTCCTGCCTAGGGCAGCACAAAACCAGGATACACCACTGTATATATATAGGTGTTGGGTGGCCAGAAGTTAATGCACATGTACTATAAAGTAACCCAGTGGCTCCAAAACAACAGTACTCTACTTTTGACCCCTTTTCTTCTGATCCTTACTTACACCAAATGTGGGTAAGCAGCAGATCGAGGAGAAAGAATATTATGACTATTATTTTGCATGTGTATGACTGAGTGAGAGAATAGTGTATGTGGGTATATGTGAGTAACTTAGTGTGACTGAGCGTGTGGGCAATTTGGTGTCTGTGTAAAACGAAATGGATGTGTATGTGTTTCTGTGAGACTATGGCACATAAAAGGGTATGTGAATGGTGAAGTGTGTGAGTGTATGTAGTTAAGAGTGGCTAAAGCATTCACACCTACATTTACCCATATTCACACACAAATGTATATACACACAAGCAAACATGTTTACCTATTTTATAGTGCGCACAGCATGTTGGGACTTTATAATAATAATTGCAGAGTCAGCTCATAATTCTTCAGTTACAGAATGTTGCTGGATTAATTCACCACTGGTTTGGCAGGATTATAAGAAAAAAACCCTATTCAAGGTCTATGTTCTTCATGAAGCCTAAAGGGCAAAATTGCAACAACAGTTAAGGACATCTCAAAGGCAGCCTGCATGTAAAGTGCTTTTTGTGTAATTCTAAACTGACAGCACCTGTCTTCAGTCAAAAGAGCAAGACATTACAGTAAAATAGATGCACTTAGGCAATTAAAGTACAATTTAGGAGGAAACAGGTTAGATTCCAGTAAAACAACAAACTTGCTAAATGAAGAATGTTAGGAGCAGTGTGATCTGAAAAGCCATCACCAACAACCCAAGCTAACTCCCAAACCTGTAAATAATAAAATATAATACCAAATGAATAGTGTGGGATGGCTAATAGAATGTTTATCGATCAAGCTTTTTGAGGCTGATTAAAGTATTGAAGGAATTCTGAACATTTTTGCTTCAGATCTTTATCGATCAAGCTTTTTGAAGGTGTGTTCTAAATGAATTCCCCTCACTTAGTGTAATTACACATCTGCGTTTCGTTTGCCATCCCACGCTGTTTGTTTGGTATTATATTCAAGTCAAGTAGGCCAGTGAAGGGGCTAGAGATTCTCCCACAGTTAGATAGAATAGATTAACGCATCACGTCCTTTCTAACAGTAGAACGTCTGCTTTATGAGCAAAGCCCGACCGATGCCTGTTAACGAATAATAACTTTATGATAACAAATTTTTAATTCCAAGAGATAAACATTTAAAAACCGAGAGGGGCCAAGTAGCAGTCACAACCTACAAAGTATAAACCAAAACAGAGAAGATTCGGGATATGGCTGTGTAAATCTACAGAGAAAGCATAAAACAAAACATAGTGTGATATTGTTATAAAACACAATATTTCATGCGCAGTAATCTTATGCACTCACAGGATGTAGGCAGTAAAAGCGCTCTTAAGGTGCCTTCCCCAATGGAATGGGGGGCTAGCTGGTATTCCTTATCACCTCTGGATCCTTGTATCACCAAAAGACATCCACAGGTCAGGGTTCAGTAATAAAAAATTTATTTAGATAAAAAGTGTAGTCACCAATTCAGCATAGGATACAAATAACAGAAGGTTGTCCCATATTTGTATCCTATGCTGAATTGGTGACTACACTTTTTATCTAAATAAATTTTTTATTACTGAACCCTGACCTGTGGATGTCTTTTGGTGATACAAGGATCCAGAGGTGATAAGGAATACCAGCTAGCCCCCCATTCCATTGGGGAAGGCACCTTAAGAGCGCTTTTACTGCCTACATCCTGTGAGTGCATAAGATTACTGCGCATGAAATATTGTGTTTTATAACAATATCACACTATGTTTTGTTTTATGCTTTCTCTGTAGATTTACACAGCCATATCCCGAATCTTCTCTGTTTTGGTTTATACTATATATGATATAGGTCGCTTGTTTGGGTAACGACCTAGGGAGGCTGTCATACATCTTTATAAGCTAAGTACTATTGCTTTCTATATTATTTATCGATTGTATATTGTTTGGGATATACTTACAACCTACAAAGAACTGAAGGTCAAGGTTGGAGATTTACGTAGAGGTCAGCCACCAAAAACAGTATTTATTAATGTGCCAATCTATATTTACTAGAGGCCAGTCTTTTTGAAATTCAGTTATTTCAACCTAAAGAAAGTATCTTATTCAGTACCATTAAGTGTCTGCTTTAAAATCGGTACATCTCACAAATGTAATACTTTATTGAAAATATGGGATTTGTTTATTTATTAAACAGTGAATTACAACCAGATTCTCTCTGAACAAATCCAGTGGGAGGTAAATTCTCAAAATAAAAAAAGTTTTTCATAGGTGAATTTATGTAGTATTTGCCCAGTGAAAAAACAAGCAGTCACTTGACATCAACCAACACTGATTCTCTCAAAAACATCATCGGAAACATTGGCTCCTTCAAATGTGGTCCTGTAAGTAAATGATGGGGGACTTTAGCAGTTGGTCCCAGAGCTTCACTTGATGTTAGTGACTATGCCCGATAAAGCAATTTGCAGAAATAGTTGGATTATCATCTCCTCTTACGTACCTGTTCATTTCGATGTAGTACTAATCTCAAAACATCACCAAGAGGACCAGTAAATCCAGTAGCCTTTGACTGGATGCAAAATCCATCATCTTGCGTGCATACTCTCACACTAACAAAAGTTTCTTTGAGGGCACCACTAGTGAATTATCCAAAGGTATTAAGAAAGGGTGATATATTCAAATAAATATAGGTGAGAAAGGGTGAACCTTTTCTATTACTAATCATACCACCATCCTGTACCCCTCATTGTTCAGTACACCTGTTCACACAACAGAGATGTAACACAATAGTGTGATAGGACTTAAAGATGAACACACCATGTTAAAATATTATAAAGGTTGAATATAAATAGGGAAATTACTGTGGGAATATGAATAGGGAGAGATGAACATAATTGGGAGCAATAACTCTGGGAATATGGCAGGGTGTAATGAATTGAAGGAATAAAAAATGTTGGAAGAATATGGCAATTCAGTTCAACTGTACTAGTGATGTAAGCAGTGGCTTCCACAGCATAGGACAATTAGGAAGTAGTGCCCCCTCAATTTTGCCATTCATTTTATTTAAATGTTGTCAAAGTGACAGTGCTTATTTAGAACATGGTTTTGCTCCCCTCCCCACCCCCACCCCCTATTGAAAAATTTTCTATGGAGAGCACCCGATGCAAAGGGGTATAATTCTATATTCAGCAGTGATATAGCAATTCGAGGAGCTTAGAGTGGACAACTAGTAAAAGTGGAATGGGAATATTATCCATGATTAGGTCAAACAGAGGAATGGCGGTGGGAGAGGGTATTGTGAAACAGGTGTGTTGTGTAGACAGAGCCTCAAAATATGGTGCTTTTGTGCACGGGTCCAGCATTTTGTCTTTGACCATGTTATTTCAGTGTTTTTGGCCCAACCTAAATTTCTCAAATAGCAAAGGGAGTTATACCTAAATAAGGGCAACAGTTTTTTTTTAATTCATTTGTTACTCCTAGTTGTTCTTTATTCTCTTCAATCTACCCCCCCCCCCCTCAAAGTCCCACAATTCCCTTTATTTTCTCCTTGTCCATATACTTTGCTTTTTCTTGAACAAATAATACTCTTAAATACTATGTACTAATCGCCTAAAACAGTGAAGTTGATTTTTCAAATTCTTTTCTGGTAAAAGCTTAATCTTGCAAGTGAAGGGTGTTACAGTTGACATTAACTCACATTTAGTTGTCAATAACTAGAAAATAGCTCTCTATTTCTGTCTATGATGACATCTCATGTGCTTGTGTTTATATATATGCAGGTAGGGCTCTTTGAATCACAGAAATACCAGTAGCCTGTTGCCTATCATGCTGGTTACTGTGCAACATTATAAACAAAACAATAAGCCTCAGAGCTAATTGTGGAACAAACAAACCTACCTGCAAGCAGTTCTTTTTAAAACCTAGAAGGGAACTGAACATTTTGGTTCGCAAGGAGAGTCTTGGTACACAATATTTTGGATAAAGACTTCCTAATCAGTGTAAAATATTAACAAATTAACAAATCAAATATGAAAAGAGCGAGAACATAATCTGTCCTAATTAATTGGGATCCTAAATAAATCAAACACTTAAAATCTAACGTTTAATAGATATGGTTAAAAAAGTTTAAGTAACCTTAAATCTCAGGGATACAGGGTATAGGGAAAATATATACAAGGGATAATGATATATACAAACAGATAATATAAAGTAGTGAATGCCTTTCACTGAGCTAGTTTAACAAAACGATACTTTGTTATGAAGTAGTGACGCCAAAAAAGTAACTATCTGAAAGTATCTAATGTGATAGTAGCAGTTATAGGAAAGGTAAAGATCTGTTTAGTTACAAAGATTTAGAAAGATCATAGAGGGAGAGGGGGGAGATCACCTAACTGTCTAGTTCAGTGAAACTGAACTTGTAGTGGATTCCTATCTCAAACCTCTAATAGCAAAGTAGTGCATATAGTAATAGCATACGATCTGTGGTATACACATAGAGTGTTCGAGCTTAGAATTATGAGGGTTAGCAAGAGAAAATCAATTGTTCTGATCAGTAAGCGTCATGCAATGAAGCCCCAATCTATGCCAATTACTAACCGTTTGGCTATAACCCTACAACCGTGCCTTCAAGGGCACCTAATTCTAAACTGAGTTTAAAAAAGTAAAAAAAACACTGATAACTAAGATGCACTGTCTGAACATAACCCTAGCATAACCTCTGAAATTAAGACTGCCTAACCCCACAAAAATAAATATCGTCAGCAAATCCATGGTAAGTATGTGGACAAGATAGGAGTTGAAGAGGAATAGTTTAAAGCTAAGGGTGAGTAGTTCAGCTGAGCCCTGACGCGCGTTTCGCCGGTAAGAGTGGCCAGCCTAAGGCACACCTGTACAATAATCATGCTGTCTAATCAGCATCTTGATATGCCACACCTGTAAGGTGGATGGATTATCTCGGCAAAGGAGAAGTGCTCACTAACACAGATGAAGATAGATTTGTGGACAATATTTGAGAGAAATAGGGCTTTTTTGTACAGAGAAAAAGTCTTAGATTTATTTATTTATAAAATATTTTACCAGGATGGATACATTCAGATTTCTCTAGCTTTCAAGTATTTCCTGGGTCTTTGTCCACAAAACATTACATTGTTACAATAGGATACAATATAAAAAAATACAATATACAAACTATATATATATATAGAATAAGAAAGGAAAGAGATAGAGGTGGACTGAATCCACATCACTAATTCCAAGGAAGGGTTACAGAGATATCAAGGGGCATAACCCCACAAAATAATTTAAAAGGATAAGACTAGAGTGAAGTGGTTGTCCCACTAAAGATGGAAAAATGTTGGACATCCACTTCACCAAATGATATCACCAGATAGTTACAATAATTGTTAGGTATAACCTTTATTAAGCCGACTTAGGCAAAACACAAAACAATAAATAATAATAATAAAAATAAAGTAATAGTGAAACACTCGTGGGAAAAACACGTGAAGTAAAAAAGTGGGTAGATGTAGGTTTGGATATCCTCAGTGTATATTGGGGTAATTTGGATAGCTTCACTGAAAACGCTAGTAACCAGTACAGTAAAGTACCGTATGTGTTCAGTCACATATCACAAAGTTGCTCCCCCTAAAGTCTACAGGGATCTGAAAGTCCCAGCCATGTAGAGGTATATCCACAAGAATTATTATTTCATAGACTCTAGTATATTATCACAGCATATACTTTCGGTTTAGATAGATAGTATCCATATATAGTTTTATCTATCATCTACAAATGTATCCAAAGTGTTGCAAGTAAAAACAGAGTCTAGGAAGAAGCTGAGAGGCACTGTGTATACAGTGTGATACTTGGTATTTTAGTAGAAAAGCCAGGGTTCAGGGATGCCAGAAAACAGGAAAGTCAAAATCAATGCCAAAGTCAAATAACCAGATAAAAACTGAATCAATAACATGCTCTCAGACAACCACAAGGGAAACCACGTCAGGGCACTGAGCAAGAGGAGAACAGGGCCTAAATACCCCGCCTGTGGATCCGATTGGTTATCACCGGCCTTTGACCCCAAATGCAGTTACCAGGTTCCTATTTGCATGATTGCTGCTCAGCACAAACCCTCCTGTGGATTGATTGCTGCTCGGCACAACTTTTCCTGTCAGGACAGTAATTTTGCTTGGCACAACTTTTCCTGTCAGAACAGTAAATGCCATTAATAAATTTTTTATGTGCGAAATACGTGACACAGACACACATACAATTTATTTTTATTTTTTAAATTTTACTCCACCCAGCCCATCTACCTTTGGGAGTGCTGGCATGGAGTCTCTATGTCCAATTGGTTCAGTGTGGCTCGGGGCTGAGCGTGCATGCCCTGGAGTCCAGTGGGGCTGCTGGGCTAAGCGTGCGGTCCCTGGGGTCAAGTGGGGCTGCTGAGCGGCTGGCGGCGAGGGAGCAGTGATCTCCCTGCTCAGCTCCCTCGTGCGCCTTTTAGTGATGCCGGACCCAGAGTGATGTCATATTCCGGCTCCGGCACCACTGCTGTGCGTGTGATAGAGCTGAACAGTGA